CTCTTCATTTACTAGTACCTATTGTTGTAGAGAAGATTATTAAACATTTATTTTCTGTATTATTCTTACAGGAAATAACACACCATGCTTTGGGGATTAAATGTATGTCAACATTGAAACTAATCATTTGATAACCTAAATGAAGTATTTAAACACTGTCTCCAAAATCCAGACAGGAAATGTAACATGCAATATTAAAAATGATTAACAATTTTCCAGATAATGGATTCTACAACAGTTAAGAGAGGCTTCATCCGATTAAATGGCCTCACACTTTCATTTGCAATGCTGCACTGCAGAAAAGAAAAGCCAGGAGTGTCCACTGAAGAATACACACTTGAAGTATCAAAGGCAGATTTATAGCCCAGGTATATAAACTAATTCACCACTAGTACAAAGGACCTTTCTCCACGTTCCCAAGCCTAACAGCTCACTGCCTCTGATGTTGATTTTAAATGCACCATGTTCTTTACTAACCTCTTATTCTCATAGGTGAATAATAATGTAATCATATTTTAACTCGTTTATTCCTTTCCGTTTTTAAAAGAATCTAAAACCTAAAGTAACGGTTTATTATTTGTAGTCACACATGGTATTTAGAGTACTGGTAATAAGACACACACAGCACTGTGGATGAAATCCTGGCCCTGTTGAAACCAACAGGAGTTGTGACACTGAATTCAATACCTCTGCTCCAAAAAACATAGGCTAACAGAAAGCACAACATAGTAAGCTGGTGATGTTGCCTATCTTGTTGAGTCCAATGTGGTGGTGGTCTCTCAACTGCTGCAAATTGGTTCTTCACCCACACCTTGAAGTATAAAGTTTTGCCTACTAAAATGTCAGGTAATATCAGGCTCCAACACAATTAAGTCAAGTAGCAGAAGACAGAGTTAAATTTGGGTGGCAGCACACAAGTACTGAAGAACAGGTGCATGGCTGGTAGTGATTTGAAGAAGGGAACATTTGGGACACCACTGATTAAGAAGCTGTTTCACATGGGAAAGAGATGGATGTGCCAAGAATGGAGGATGAAAAGAAAGGGAGCGATTAGGAGGAAGACCCCCCCCCAAGGCACTGGGAAGGGCATAAGAAGAAACAGAAGGGTGGAGTGCTTTAAATGGCATGCCGAGATGCTGGAACTGAATGAGGGGGAATAAGGGGGAGCCAGGGCACACAGATAAGGAGATGAAGGGAAGGAGGTCAGAGCAATAGGAGAAGATTATTTTTAATCCCAGGAAGATGAATTTAGCCACAGTATTTGGGTCAGTATGAAGCTTCATGTATACTAAAGAATTGCACTGTTGCAACTTGAAGCTGTTCAGTCACATGGGTGCAAGTTGGCACAGTGCTGCATGTCCACACTATCCATCCAGTTTTGAGTACGATGTAAAACACAGTAGTCCTGAGCATCTGAGTTCCACGTCATAGATGTAACCGAGAACTTTCAGGTGGCAAACCTGCATGCAGCCATGATTCCTTAAAAATGGAAAGCTGAGGAGACTTGAACTTTTATGAGCCTCTGATACTCAGGACTAGCTGGTCTGTGGCAAAAGTATAGAATGCACAGGCTTAACACATGTATTTGTATCTCATCTCATAACTCAGACCATGCTCTAATCACCAGATCACATGCCGTTCCTCTTTACAAACAAATATTTAAATATATCCTGTATATAGAGAATACGGTACTTTATTTCCTTTGAGACACCTTAGATTCTAGCGTACAATGTGTCATCATAGACCGATCATTAAGAGACAGCTAGATTGTTTGTACAGACTTATGTTTTGCATTTGCAACAAACTAATAATTCTACTATGCAAATGTGTACTCTTTCACTGCTTTTGGAGAAAGCCACTGTTTATCTCCAGCATAAATTATACTAAAAGTTATACAAATCAGAGGACTCAGAGTCTAATCAGGATAACAGCGCTTACCACCTGAAACTCATTTCACTTTCCAAAACAAGAAAAGCCTTCAAAGACATATTTGCTTTTGACAAAAGCTATTAATTTCACATGTAAATTCTTAAAAAAAACCCAAGCTTTCAGAGTTTATAACCAACAGAGAGTTTATAATCCTCCATATAACTTTTTGTTCATCCATTATTTACTGATCTAGTAAATACCACATTAAAAATGTGCATGAGAAGCTCATTAAAATCTAGTGACACGAGTATAGTTTACTGGTACATGTCATCTGCAATAGATAATGCTCTATAATCTAGAGCCTAAATGGGATATAAGAAACAAAACAGAGTGTTTCAGACAAAGGAAACTTCAGAATGTATTGTTCCTATAAACAGATGTTAAATTACTTCACTGTATAATAGAATTTATAATCCTGAAGGTTTCTATGTGAACAAGCAACATCAGTTTATTATTTCAGTAGGGTGCAATAAAATTCTCATTTTACTTGCAACTTGTAATGAACTGGAGGCCAATTATAAAAAGCCAAAGGTTTCTCACCAGAAATGCTATGCATACATAAAACTATTGATAAAGCTCTTAAAAATGAAGTAGAATCTTTCCAGTTCACTAATGACTATCAGACCACAGCAGACTAGAGTATTTTGCAAGTGATCAAACTAGAAAGCAAATATAATACTTCACAAAATGCACTTTGCTAATTTATTTCAGTAATTTTCATTTATGAAGCATAGATACAGTAATTGAAATTAATGTACTGATAATTATTACAGCATACATTGTAAAAAAACAAAAAACACACCATATCCTAGTAATATAAAATCTTACCACAGCGCTCAGTGACTGAATCCTTTCTGAGAAATGGGATGAGGAAGATGTTTTTAAATAATTGTAAATTAGCAAGGTTCTACTTTAAATATACAGGGAAAATTCAGGAAGACTAACCTATCTTCAAAATTGTAATGTGCTCTGCAAGGGCAGACTCCTGTAACTATCTGGAACCCCACTAACTTATGTGGTTCCATGCAGGGACAGGGGATCACCAATATAGAACTTCTAGCAGGGGCCTTAGTGTTAACACTACAGACAGTGTTGCTCTAGATACGTAGCAAGATCCCTCTCCTGCAGTATGTTGCAGTTGTGCAGTTTAAAGCACAGGACCAGGGGCTAAAACAAAAAATATATTTGACTGTACTATATACTATTAAATAATTCTCTGGTGTTTATAAATATGGATGTACATACACACATGTAAAATGTGCAGTAAATATGAAATGTGCACAGCACCTTGAAATACAGAATAGTTTGTGATCAAGTGATTTATAAAAAGGGCCACATTAAGATCCTTTAAAGTTTCTACTGATTAAGAAAACAATGATGAAAGTACTTTTTGCCCCATTGCATAGTGAGTTATAAAACTGGCTTCTACATAAAAGTATGCCTAATTTTTTTCAAACATTTAAATTTTTAAAAATAGTTTCAAATGGCTCATTCTTCGCTGTTCAATACAAAGAAATGGGCTCATGAGGCTGGTAAAAATGACCATATTTAAATTTTCTTTCTAGTTATGCAAATTATTTCCCACAAGTTTGGATTCAGCCATTCAGTTAACATCTTCTGAAATATTTAGCAAACAGTTGGTTCATCTCAAGTCCAATACTGCTCTAATCATTTACTGTGACAATTTTAATCACTATTAACTGCTGATGCATGCGTTAAAATTCATACTTCTCATCCTCTTATGTGGCATCTGCATCTTTCCTGCAAACTTATTACAGATTTGTTTCTATGTTGTTGCTAGAAAAAAATGATTTGAAATAAATACCACAGGCCAGAGAAAAATCTTTACATGAAAAAGAGGGAGCATTTTCTAACTGATCCCAAATTTTAGACCCCATTAATTTGAATGTGTCATTTGAAAGACATCCTATTCAGTTGTTCACCAGTAAAACTTAGAAGAATATCTAAAGGATACGGGACTCTCAAAATTTGCATCCTTCCAAAGAAGGGATGAGGCAAATGAATAAAACTATAGATTTGTAAGTGATGATAACATCCATTTCAGAACTAAGAAAATATATAAATGCTTAAATATATTTAATTGTAATTGCACCTTTCATTACTGCTGATTAATAAAGTGAAATTACTTCCTTATACTGTCTTTTTATATTTAACTCGAAGAATGAAATTTATTTTTGATTAATTATTATGTTGATTGCATTCTTTAATAATGAATGGCAAACTACAAAAAGACATTTCCCTCTTTTATTCTGAAAAACGAAGTTACATAGGATGACAACAATCATATTTTAGACATGTGCGCACACACTTCCCATGCGAAAAACAGTGAACATTTTCATGTAACCATGAGCTATGTGACAAATCAGTCCAGTTACTGTTTAGCCCTACATCACTGAGGTCTGCAATAACTGAGGCCTGCAACAGTTACGTCCTCACTGCAGAGTTAGTTTGAGTTATCTATATAGCTTGAATGAGATGGCCAACTGCAAAATAACACTCCAGCAACAGAGTTATTGTGTTAGGAGCACAGAATAAATGTATCCCTACTGCATTACTAGCTCAAATATGAGGAGCACCTGAGCTTTGATTCATACCTTCCCCCTCTCCCCCATTGGCCAGCTAGCTCAAGTTTAAAGCACTCCCTAACTCAAGCCAATTCTAATTTTGTTATTTCAAAAGGAAAATTCTTACGTATTGAAAATGCATGGCCATAACAGAGATACTGCCTGCATCGAGAAATATCAGTGTATATAATACTACAAACATTGACTTTTTGCTTGGGTGAACATATCACCATCCTGTTTTGTTTGAGGGAATACTGCCCTCTGTTATGATGTGGTCAATATTTACCTCAACTTTGCTTACTAAAATGGATATTTCAAGTCTATACATCCTTATATTCATTTCAATATATTGTTCTATTCCCAATAACTTAAAACTCTATTATAGAGTGGCAATTTTGATGATCTTTGCAGTGAGGCATTACTGTTAGGAGCAACACAGTTTAAAAAAAAAACATATCAAAATACATCACGTTCTAAGGTACTTACATCAGTGTCAGGCCCTTTGTCTGCACCAGGACAAGAAAACGTAACAAATTCATGGCACCTCTTGTGAACCACAAAACAGCAAACTAGTTAAAAAAAAAGGGGGGGGGAGGAAACAACAGTTAGAGTGGCACAGATTTACTAAATCTTTACTGTTGAAACAAATTTTGTTTCACTGAAATCAGTGTATGGAGAAGGGAACTTCAGAAAGTTCGGATATTTTGAATTAAAAAGTGACAATTCCATGTGCGTGTACCTGTTTAGTGCTGGTATTACAATTTGTCTATTTTTGAAATACTGCAAAGTATATGAAAGTCACTGTTTGCTCTGCTACAAAAATGACTTGTGGACATAATATTATTTCAGTTTTGCAGCCAGGGAGTTATCTGGTTACAGATTTGAAAGAAACTTCTCCTGCTATAACATGATGTAATATAGGCCCAGCAGATCTTCCAATGTTGGCATTTTATTTTATGGAACACTTGGTCTTTTTAGCCGGCCTCTCCTCAAATCTTTATATCTTTTACTCTACAGCTTACAGCTTTTAAACAAAGGAAAACCCAGCCACTTGGTCAGAACCAATATTTTCCTGAAGGAGTTATATCATTACATGTTAATGTTTTTATGTTCCGCGCCTTAGGTGAATACAAAATTACAAGGATATTACTGCTGTTCATGCAGTCTTCTGGAAAAGGTGGTTCTCTTGTGTATATACCTTGCAAACACTAGTTATGTTACATCAGTCAGTGTATTCTCTCTGGTAACTTTGATTTAAGCATCATCACATTGCATAAACATCCTGCTAGAACCATTTTAGACAGTGCAACTTGTAAGGAAACTCCTCTAAATCATTATTTATAGATTACACTCTATTTTATTCTATGTCAGACTGAAAGTTCTTGATTAGATTCAACTACTTAATAATTCAGGAAGAAACTACGGAGCTTATTTGTAACACTTAAGCCATAAAAAAACTTCAGACAATTCTACTTCAAAAATGCTCTACCTTGTTACAGCTAGAGGAAATCCTAAAACAAATGCAGAGATGTCATAGCTCTATAAATAATTTCCCCTATAAATATGGTGAGTGAGGACAGGGCAAGTGGGAAGAGGAGAAAGAGTGAATGGAAAGAGAATTCACAAATTTAAAGGCCAGAATAACACAGTCCAAAGCATTTTACCCAGGAATTATTCTTCCCTACTATGTAAGTGGACACTATCAAGCCAAGTAACTTGTTTCAAAATCTGGACTTTGGGGCATACAGAAATATAGACATTACCCTGTGAAGATTGGTGCTCTGTTTACAACAATATAAAGTTTTTGCTTATTTAAAATTATGTTAGGAGCATTATTTTTAATATTTTTAAATGACTGTTGCATTGCTGTGGTTAACTTTTGTTAAGCCTAAAGTTTAAAGTAACTTTGACTCTTTAAATGCGCACTTGGACTAAAAGTCACATAACTCTTGATTGGCAAACTGGGTCAGGATTTGTCACGTTAAATACAGTAATGAAGAGCTTTTTCAAAACTTAAATGCATGTGAGTATTTACTTTTTCCTTATTTAGCTTCTCATGTATTTCATGTAGTCAGTTGGTGTGTCTCATGGGACATAAACAGGGCCATTGTTGGCTCCACTTCAGACATTCCTCACACTTCCCCTGAAAATTCGCCACTGCCAACAGGTATGTATGGGGCCTCCTAATAAGTACTCATGGGTTTAAGGAGATGTGTATTTGAAGCAGGAAAAGGATTTATTTCCTCCTTGCAGAGCCTTTCTTTGCCCACAACAATCAATTTTGCCGTCTTTTACAGGTGACGGGAATTGTCCAAGAGGGAGCATAGCTTTTGTCCCCCCTAAGTCCTACCCCACAAAGGTGCACTATTTGAAGTGGCCAGTGCCACTTATTAATCAATTCTGAGGCAAGACATGTCATTAAGCTGAGTTACAGTTGTAAATCTCTATCAGTCTCTGACAGAAGGAGAAATCTAAAAGATCTCTGTGGTTATCTGAAAAACCCATAAATGTTAGACACATTAGAAGTTATAAATACTGTATAATACGCAAAGAGATATTACATGCTTAATTATATTCTTTAGGTTGGATGATGCATAATCTGTCAACACCAGTAATGAGAATAATATACTTGATAATTAGTCCTCATTGCTATTTTCAAAGACATAACATACTTCAAGACTATAAAATTACAATCTCAATATGTAACTTTTCAGCAGAACGAGTTTCATGACAATTTATCTGTGATGGCTTTTATGCTGCAAGACACACATGAATAAACAGTAAATTGCTTTCTTCATGCATTCAAAAGTTGTCAACATGCATACAGCCGATTCGTAAAATTTACTGAAGTAATTTGATACAGAGAAATACGTTTTCTAGTCCCACTTGGCTATTTGCAGCCAAGTGTTCAATAAGGTCTGTTACCATATTCCTATAAAATCCTTTCAGCTTCATCTGCAATCAAGTGCAGCGCCTCAATATGTATCATAATAATTATCAAAATTTAAGCAAAATTAAACATGATCAGATAATGTAAAATAGAAAGAGCTAACTGCCTTGTCAACAATGTGAAAACAAGTAACCATTTACAAAATGATATAACATCAAATCAACAATGTGTCCTGTGGTCCTTTACAGCTGAAAGAATGGTTACTACCTGTATCTTAGGGTAGGACAGAGTGTAGTACAGTAAATGTATTATAGTGGCAAAAGAGACCATGTTATGATACCATATCACGGTAGTGATAATAGGAGTTACTAGATAGCTACAACTGTTTTCAGTAAAGAGGAAGCCACAGTACCCACAAAATATCATGCAATATTTAACATCAAATGTGTAAATGTTACTTAATACCACTGCCTATTATGGGCATGGAAGTCAAACATCCATGTAGTGATTAGTTAGCAAAATGTGATAAATTCATCCTTGATGAAGTGCATACAAAATGAAGCTGCAACTGTTACACCAATGATGAATTTGGCAGTTTGTTGACCAAGTCTCCGCGTAGCTCGAAACCTTGTCTGTCTCTTCTACCAAACGAAGTTGGTCCAGTAAGAGATATTATCTCATCCACATTGTCTCTCTCATATCCTGGGACCAACATGGCTACAACAACATTGCTAACATTAATTTTAATATGCAGTTAGCAAAACTGCATCACTTGAGGACTAATGTTCTCTAACAGTTTGCCAGCTCTATTTTTATAGCAGATCTATAACACCACTAATGAAAGTTCCACATTACCATACCTACATCAGTGCACATACACAGAGCTATAATTTTATTCAATTCAGAGAAGTGAAATAAAATGGTACAAAAAAAGATAAATGAGTACTGAGAAAAAAAAGTTTTCTAGCAGTCAGTGATCTCTGTATGCTTTGAGGGCAAACTAGACAAATGCAATCCATTCTGTCACAAAGAATGTAACGTGTCTGAATACTGCTCTTTACATGGAAATGAACGGTGAAAGATAAGTACAAAGAAGTTGAAGTATTAAATCTTTGAGTAGGCCACTACCTTTTGGTTTTAAGGAAGTACAATTGCTCTGTTGCTAAAGATCCCACATGGCCGAAATACATTTGACCTCATGTTTTAAATGTGTCAACTTAAAAACATATTTCACTTGTTAAAGTTCATTTTCAGAGTCATAAATCAATGTGCAACTTGACTTATGTGCAGGAAGTGCAAAGTCTATTGAAAATGCATTAGCACATTTAAGACTAAGAGGATTATCACAATGCAAAAGAATGCATTGCTTGTAATGGTTTTCTGTCTCTTCACACAAAATAGGATACATACCCAATAAATAGGGTATGTATACAGTATATTTTCAATATGTAGTCAAGGGACTGACATGTTTATTCATACATATAGGACCAATTACATTTGTATTAGACATTACAATTCTAACGCTACTTCATTTTTATTGAACAAAGTTTTCTATTAATATGCAGACTTGTATCATGATCCTGCACACACTTACGTATATCAGCAGCCCCATTCAACTCAATTATTCTGTTCAGGTGCATAAAGTTTCTCAAATGCATAAATGTTTTTAGGACAGGGGCTTCAGGTTGGTGATGTATTTGTATATCGTACAAACAGTTTCTCATAGAGGAAAGTGTCAAAATGTTAGCATGTAACACAACATTCTCTTCAATTGCATTTAATAAAAGGGTATAAATTCTTTTACCGGTTATTGATATAAAAAGAGTTAAATTTATTATTATGCTTTGAACTTTGCTATAATTTATGTTTTTTTACATGAACTCTCCTATCTGGAATAGATAAATTAAATGTTATCATAAATTAGGGCGGAGATGGTACTCTCTATAGCAGTGCAATATCTGGACTTCAATGTCTTTAGTAATAGAAAAATCTATTGTATATTATATTTGCATGTTAAAATAAAATAATCAGGTTCAGTTTTGTATCTCAGAAAACAATATTTTTCTGGGATCCGTTGTAGAGCTGTAAGAAAAACAAACGAACAAATGTTTTATATGTATTAAATGCTAAGGAATGGCACCCTGCAAATACTTTATGATTGGTTTTTAGCTGAGCATTTCTAGAATGCTTAGACTAACATTTGAATAATTTCTAAAGAAGTAGAATGTTTTTTCTGAGGACAAAACACAAACAAAAAGCAGTGTATATATCCTTCTGTTTAAATAAAAAAGTTTAATTTATCAAAATTTATCTAGCTCATTTTGAAAAGCCGCAGAGTTACAATTGATAGAACATGTACAGAAGGTTAACAGTGAAAAGAATACAATTTTAGTTTTATAACGAGTTCAAGATCAGTCATGGAAAAAACGTATGGTAGGAAGAGAATTAATCTGGATGACAAATAGAGCAATGAAGGGTAAACTGAAATTTATGAAGGAGGTGGGGACAAGTTTTGCTAGAACAGTGACTGCCTTTGCTCTGTAGGTCGACTTCAGCTACGGTATTCCCGTAGCTGAAGTTGCGTATCTTACATTGACACCTCCCCCCCACAGTGTAGACCAGGCCTTAGGATATATATGAGCAAGAACGGAGGCATACACATAGCAGTGCATCTCAAAC